CCCCCCCCCCCCCCCCCCCCCTTCGTCTATACCCACTGCCATTTAGTTTATATCATTATCAAAACATATTCGTCATAGCAGTCATTTACGTAGACTAGCCTTAAGCTAATGACTGCTCCATAACCAACAACCGCTAAGGTTCAGTGCACCACTAGGAGTAGACAATAACGCAATTAAATTGTCGAAGATAGCATTTTGTTATGTACAAGCTTTGTACAAAAATGAAGACACTGGACAGATCCGTCGAAGTGCCATCATCTCGGCGCGACTTATGCTGACCAGGTTTACATTTCTTGTGTCTGGATGCTCATCACACATACTTCGCAAAAAATGACATTTCATCTGCAACACATCTGCGTAAATCCCATGCCAACCGTGAACAAAAATTTCCTTACCCAATTATCCTTGCTTTTTTTCGAACTATTTTTCTTGTTTTTTTTCCTGTGCTAATCGCTTATCAGCCTTTCTCCCAAATCTTTGCTCGCATCTTTTGCCAAATCGCAATTAGCTGGAAAACCAAGTTTCATTTTCACGGACCCGCATTTCGTTTACTGGATCCTGATCGCAATTTATAAATTACGAAAAATGTTCGTTGCATTCAAAACAGCTATGAAATTGATTTGGAGAAACAACAGAAGATGGATTTGAAAGTATGGAGGAAAAGATTATAGAAATGCGGGATCTGGACAAAATACGCCTTTCAGCAGCTTCTTGCTCACCAAAATTTTTACAGGGAAAAAAACGGAAGGACAAACCAACGAAGCATTCGCATGAGACTCGTACGTTCAAATTGAATTTTTGCCATATCTGGCAGTCATCCGTTCCAACATTTTTCAGCACAACAAAATTCATATGCTTCTGCTTACATTTTCCATGCGCTGAAAAGAGCTGATAAGAACGATTTGGTAATTGAATACACACAAAATGCAGTTTGTCTTTCCTGCAAATTTTTGCGGAAGCACAGAGCGAGTGACAGCAACAGTATGGGCAGCTGACAGTCCGCGAAGAAGGAAGGCGCAATATGCCAGCTTCTAGCACATCTGCTCAGTGCGATTAAAATACTTCAGAAATTCTACAAAACCGTTCCTAACTGCACAATTCATCGCGACAAACAAACATGTATACGAAAAAAAACATAATCACATTGTAATAAATGCGTTTAATTTGCGCGAAGCGCGTTAAAAAATGAGGAAAATAGCGCTGAACATTAAAAACTATGACCCAATATTCTATCACATTTAAAATCGAAAATGGCATTTCAGTAGGTCGGAGGAGAAAACAAACTTACGAAAATCATAGAAATATAAGCATGCTTTATCATCGTCACACATCACTTCATTGATGAACGGCGGGAAAAAAGTATTCGGTAGTCGGCGAATTGCCTGGCATGCGCCGCATAGCCTCAGGTAACCGTCTTCCTCACTGCCTCGCTTGTCGCATCCAAATGGTATCACATGCACATCGCCTGAATTATTCAAGTCCAGTAATTTCCTAACGGATGTCGCAGAGTGCTTCAGCCATGAAGCAGCCCTAGTCGATTTGGAACACTGCATAAAAGCTCGTCCATCATTTTTCTTATCCATTCTTATCCATTCTACTTAGCTTTTGGTAGAAAACATTATTTGATAGATCGTTGAATTTTTGGATTCTTGATTAAATCAAGAACGTCAAGGAGACCAAAAAAATTTAAACGCACCAATAAGTTTCTGACGTTTATGTATCACAGGATCATCTCTAGCATGTGCATCCACGGTTTCGGATGCTAAAAGGGAGCCGATGACACTTTCAGCGGTTTCTCGTTTGCTGCGCTCCAGCTCGGAGTCCATCATTCTTATGGATGGTGATATTACTGTTCGACGGCTCTGCGTCCTGCAAGCATAAAATAAGAATTAGACGAAGAATTATAAAGGCAATGACGAGTAACCCATGCCTGCTGCCCTCTAATTTGACACGCAGATTTTTTTTTGTTATCTTTTCAGCGGATTATCCCTCCGCCAGCAACTATTAGGTCAAGCCTATTGCGCCAGTGACTGAGGTCCAGCTGTGGTACTGAATAGAAATTTGTACGGCTTAATGGATCGAAATTCCTGTCCATTCAATTTTTTAATACATCTTTAATGCACATATATACATATATATTTAATATGTTTGTCGTAATATCTCCATTAGGATAATTTAAACCTACTTAACAGCATTCATAAAAGATGGCTTTTCCAGGCAAAACTTTAGGATCTATCACTAAAGTTGAAAATAACCCAAGCTCTTCATCTGGATGGTACGGCTAATGCTTTTTTCAATAAAAAGTTTCAACTTCCGACCAGCAGAGAACACTTTGTGAAAAATGCTCCACTAAACCTTTTATGCATTCTTTGATCCTCGTTTTCACACTGATTCTGTACCATCTACGTCAGAAATGTATTTCGGCAGTTGCCCATCTTAGCTGCTCAAAAACTTTCACACTCTACGATTGTAAATGAAGTCACATAAACTCGATACTTATATCCAGATAAACAAGTATTTGGCGAATGTACCTCCAGCTTACCGCATAACCTCCTAAATTTTGTTCCCGACTTCAAATGTAGAGAGCTGAGGGCAGGAGATTAAATTATCTTTTCCTCTGGTCGAGCCAAATTTTAAAAATAGGAAATTAGCAATTTTTGCAACTTTTCGTATCGATAATTTTTATGACTAGTGCATTAC